TCACCACCTCATCACACTTCCTCTGTTGTTATTGTTTGGATGTGAGAGCCCCTAGTGGCAGAAACTGCACACTGTACCTTTAAATCTCATATCAGCTCTGGAGAAACAAATCAGCCATCACATGATCAGTTTTATTATCATTAATATTAATATTATCTTCTTTATTGATCCTCTGAGCGGACGACAAACCATTGATCATCAGTAACAGTGAACAGTCCGCTGACCTTCAGCTCATTTCAACACAAAGAAGAAGAAGGTCAGTTTTACCGCCACCGTCCGTGCGACTCACTATCGTCACTTTACTGAGCAGGAAGTGAGCTGAAGCCGCCGTCTCCTGCAGGTTACAGCGTTTGGTAAGGAAGGTTGGATGGACGCCGCCACCTCACAAACACTCGACCGTCTTCAACAGAAAACCGATTGGTGGAAATTCTCACAGCAAGAATTCAAATGTAAATCCGGACCTCAGGATGTTTGAAGTTCTCACTGGAATAAAAAAATACTGGCAGTGAAACTGTACCGGAGATTAACGGCGCTGGGTCGACACAGAGGTTGAACCAAATAAATGTTGCTGCAGTTTTTAATTAATAAAAGTTCTGTATGATCTCATAAATGATTATACCATTCTATATTTACTGTGGGTGTAACAATATATTAACCTGGATCAATATCAATGATCTAACATATCGATAGAAAACATTTTATTAGTTTATTATTTTATCTTTAAGCATCGTTTGCATTGTGTAGATTTCTGAGTTCTTTAGTGCCACAAACTCAACATTGTAATAAACATTTAAAACTATTTCAGATTGAAATGAAACAGTGAGTTTTATTTTATTTTGAAAATTTATTGTGAAAGAGCTGCTGAGAGTTCAGACTCTGAGCCGAAGAACAGCTGAAGAGCCGAAACATCTTCCCGTCTAACTGCGGTGAATGAAGGGATTATTATAGTGATCGACCGACTCATCGTCCCCCATTATCCGGCATTCAGAGACAATCGTTAAACAGCCGGCAGACGGCCTCGTCTGTGCTGTGGGACGACGTCAGTGCTCCCCTTTGGGAGGGTGATGAAGTATATACATATATTCTGCTGTATCCTGAATATCCTGTAGAATAATAAATGACTCTTCTTATCAACCATCAGCTCTGCTCTCTAAATATCTGCTGCAGGAAACAGTAACGAGCTGATTCACTGAGGCTCCGACCAGGACTCTGACTGCAGGAAGACGAGGAAGCGAAGACACGTACCCGACAAATATCTGCCAACATTAACTCAAACTGCTCAGTGAACCAGGGAAATAGTTTTACAATGTATAATTTGAGTTGGCACTACAATACCTCCTTACACATCAGTATCGTATCACAGAATGGATGTAATGTCATTTACAACCTGAATATTTACCCAGTGACTTTAAAACAGGACTACAAAGTGAAATAAAAGCATGAGAACTTGTTTAATCTAAAATAAGGAGCTGGAAGAGGAGAAGAAACGGAGTGACAGACCAACCTCCAACGAGCACTTCTGGTTACCTTCATCTCTGAACATTTATTTCTGTTTCAGGACAAACAAACGATAAAGAGTGAATCAGTTCTATAAAGTGGTTTCGTCTGTGTGCCTTTAAGGGTGAAAACAAACAACGCTCCACTCCTGCTGCCACTAATAATAAAAAAACAACAGTATTAAAATTAAAACAGACATTTCCAAAAATAAAACAAACAAAAAGGGAAAAAATATATAAAACAGGTGAAAGCTAAAGCCACACAGCTCCTTCGTCGACGCTACTTCCCTCTAAATTATTTCCAGCGTTAACATTCGAGGTCCCTGCCGATGCGTTCTGAATCACTAGTAGTTTTATTAGAATATGTTGACTGCTCTATTTTATCTGTTCAAGCTTCTATATACACATTTAGATTTCTATGTACAGCCACAATAAACGCCTCCTCCCCGCCGCCGGCAGCAGCTCCTCTCGGGGGCGAGCGACGGACTCTTGTGCAACTTTTCTGTCGTTTGTTTCACTTCTTGCTCGTTGGGGG